TATATAAACATATTTTATAGTATAGGTTCACTTATTTTGTTCCGTATGTAGTCCATAGTCAAATCTCTAAAAAGACATATTTACGAACGGAAGGAGTACGACGCAAAGGCCGGGCATATTAAATGGATTATCGGTTTTCATTCGTTTCCAGCGCTGCTCAAAATTAAAATGGTTAGCCTTGCAATGATTTTTTTGTTTGAAATTAAGGAGGCAAAACTTTGCCTCATCGTATTAATATTGACGCCGATAAGTATGAATGTTCAGATTTTGACCATGTAAATTGGATTTTTTATGACAATTTTAGTTGACGCGAGACTGACAAGTTTAGTTGACAGGCATGGTAAGTCTGTCTTAGTTTATTTTATGCCAGAAAATTGCCGAGCTTACCAACTAAACCTTGCCATCCACAGGTCAATTAAAGTTGCCATTAAAAACATTCGATTGGCCATGGTCAAAAGCCGAACTTCGGTACTTATCATTTCCATATTAATTAAGAGATGAGTACACAGGAACAAAGGCGGTCTAGGTTTGACCGCGCGACATCAACAAGCTCAGGCGTTTGGCAGCCGCCATCGCCATAAAATGGACTCCGCTCTAATACTCGCAATTATTACATTCGACATGGAAGTGACCTTATTAAAATTCAATGAGGTCCGGAACTGAGGGGCCCAAACTTATGTTGATGTTTTGATTCCAGATATACCATTCTACCTCATGAATGGAGCCCGCTTGGAGATTGAAAAAAATGGATGGTGCAATGTATTTGGGTTTGCGACATCCTAGCCAAGAAGAGTACAAAAATGCAAGGGTGCCCAGAGATGACCCAAACACAACCTGGGTCATTCCAAGCTAGCCATGGCCATCGTACGTTGAAGCGCCCTTGCGAATTTGTCCATATCAAGAATGCATGGTCCTCCAGACTCCTTAGGCATGCACACAAGGTCCCATTTTATTTTGCACTTTCCTATACACTTTATATGTTCCAACCCATAAATATGCCGTTTGAAGCATCACAATATCTTGCATGAACCCCTTCGGAGGCCGAAGTGACGTGAGGTGATAGATTGCTTGCGATGTGACGGATTTTATCCAAGCACACCTACCTGCCATCATGATGGACTTCCCATCTCCGCACCTAACCTTCCCAACGATCTTGTCAAGAAGGTGTTGGAAGACAACGCTTCACAGTCGGTGCACCGCTAGAGAGAGGTTGAGGTATCACAATGGGTACTGGGACCACATAGCCGGGAAGGCGGCTAGGATATCATCATGATTAATGCCTGCGCATCTGATTGGGGCAACCAAACTTTTCTGGACATTTGTTACTAAGCCAATGACATCTCCAAAACATTGCAGAATGCTCGCTAGCATATGAATATCCTCCTTTATCGGTGAGGGATAACGGCACCGATAGCGCCGCCATCATGTGGTCTGGGAGACCCAAATCAAGGCCTCCCCCCGCAGCATCCCGAACGAGGAGACGATGACTGCAACTCCCGAAGTCAGAGCTCGATTTTCACTCACTGCCACTTCTGCCCAACTCGTAGCCGGCTGGATCGTTGCCAAGTCGCATAGATAAGCTTTGTGCTAGCCCCCAACCGCGTCGCAGTACGACCATTGTCCACGCCACCGACGGATCTGGACGAGTGCCAGATCCGCAGCCCATCGCCACCAATCATCACCAAAGCAGAGCAGCACACCTGAGCCGGCTCAAACCGTCAGGCCATGGAGGCAACGGCCACCGACGCATAGGGGGGGGGGGCGTCCTGACCACCGCGCCCGATCACGCACAAGCACCACCCCCAGTCGCCTTAGAGGACACCGCTGCAATCCACCTGCCCAAGCACCTTCGACGCCGGTCCAGCCGCCACCATGGTCAACGCTGGCGACTGTAGCGACATGTGAGATGCCGAGATCAGGGCCTAGCGACGCTACGGATGGGGCCCCAGCGGCGCTCTGGGGAACAATGCGAGGGGTTTTCTTTCGGTTCCTATGAGGTTTGTGCTCAACACTATCATAGGGTTTCCTAGATAAGCGTTATTAACTGAATTTGTAATTCCTTTCTTGTACATGATCTGATATTGTAGGTCCGTCATTTTTGTCATCAACATGGTCAGGTCGGCTCCATTATGAGAGCAGTGATAGCGGCACATATGGGGGCCTCATTCCGGTGGTGGTAGTGGTCGTTCGTTTGCCCGGAGAGCTCAATGTAGTCTTTATTATGTTTGTCGTGTTTATACATCCGTCGAATCTTTATATAATAGATTTGGCTAAAAATAAAAAAATTGTTCAAGATTTTCTTTCAAGCTCCGTGTTAGTCTTCGACATCGCTTTTTTCCCTATTTTTTTCTTCCCGGTTTTCTTTGTCTTTTTTCCTTTTATGTTTTTTTTCTCATTGGTTTTCCTTTCCTTCTTTTAAGTAGAAAATTGTGAAAAATGTTCGCATATTTGAAAAAGTGTTCATGTCTTTAAAAATGTTTGTATTTACAAAATAGTGTTTTCGCTGCGTTATTTGGAAAAAAACACGCTCCCTTAACTCAATAATCATGACCCAAATCCCAATAAGTTCACGTCCTTTATTTCAACACATAGCATCCCTCTGTGTTTTCACTCATTCCCCTTCCCATCCTTGCTGACGGTAGCCTCAGTGCTCACAAAATCGCAACACGTTTGAACATTGTCAAGTCTATCTCCTAAGGTGTCTCTCTCTCGGCATAACATGAAAAATCGGCTTTATTTTTCCGTGTATTTTTGGCGAGGTATGCATGCATGCATGGTTATAGATGGTTTCTTTCGTCTCCAACCTTCGTTTTGTTGAGGTGTTCATTTCTAATCCGGATCAGCACCGATATGAAAGAAAGATGGATCATGCGCTATTGATGAAGGTTGCACCCTAAATAACATTTCTTAAATGGTTAACAGGTCAAATAACATCATATTAATATATATTTTCACATTTTTTAATCAAATTCCATGTATAACATGTTAAATTTGGAGTTCATGTTTAAAAGATATGGATATTTTTAATAAGCATTTAATCTGTACTGTGGGTTGATTAACCCAGATATCAGGGGTTTCCTGCATACGCAAAAAATCCGACATGAACTGGCCTGCAGGTTTATTACCAGAAACATCAGACGGTATTTTGCAAGATTGAAAATCTGACTTAAAACCGGATTGTTGGTTGATTACCAGAAACAAGAAGGGATTTTCTGCTAAATAGCAGTAGGACCGACCTATTTTCTTTATTAGTAGCTAATATAGTTAGCAGTTATTTTCTCAAAAATCTTCACTATTTCACAGTCAGTAGTGAACAGTGTTTTTCTGGCTAACAAGTTGCTGCATTTCCAATCGGATTTTTTTTGTTGCATTCAAATCAGTAGTATGCACGACTTTTTCTATGTTTACTTCTACTGCTCTTGCTTAATCCGCTATGTTTTGCAACAACAACAAAAAATCCGATGCGACTTCTCGACGAAGAAGTCTACCAACGTGAAACAGATTCTTGCAAAATAGAGAAATAATGCAGGGACGAAAACGAAAGGAAGTTAATTTTAGGGCTGTCAACGAATAATGCTGCCCAAGTTAGAGGCTAATGGACGCCGCACCGTTGACTATACTCAACTGAAAATTAGTTCTTATATTTTAAATTTATATACACCAGATTAAGAGCTATTAAAGGTACACTCCTGGTCCAGCTAAGAAAATGACAGAGCAAATTTGCTCAATTAGGTCCAAATTGATCAATCTTGCACACTCCGACAACTTTAGTATGTGGAATGAAACATTAATAAAACTTTCTGAAAACAATTCCTTTTGACGATGCTAGTATTATATGACTTTCGATGTGCATGGTTTCATGTGTTCATATAGTTCCGTACAAATTTAAGCAGATTTTGCATGTATTTTCATACTATTTCGAGTTCTACTTTGGCTTTATGCATGCCAAACCTCCACTTAAACATTTTCAAAATAAGTCAAAACTTCAACAAACCATTAATGAAAGGTCAGAAAAACATGGGGAGGGGGTGTTGTTGAGCAAATAGGAAGAGATCTTTTACGGTACCCCTAAATGAATGTGAGCCATCCATCCACCTTAATCTGACGGCTAATCTTACATGGTACTCAAATACATATCCTAGGGAGTACTATCTCAAAAAAATATGGAGTACTTGATGTTAGGGGTAATACCGTAATCATGGGTGATTTATTTATTTCTCAATCATATATCAATTTATTACAAAAATTCTAAATAGAATAAGATTCCAATTTAGTATGAACTTGCTTGTAAGGGTGTGAACGCAGACTTCAAACAAAAAATTGTCATGAACCCTAATCCCAAATCAATATCATTCGCCAAAAGAAAAATCACCAAATCAAGATGATGATCATGCGTGGCGGAGCATGATGATCACAGGGTCATCACCATTGAGGGGATTAGGATTAGGCCACATCAGTTCACAATCCAGGTTATGCACCCGCGATGTGCATATCAATGGCCGCTGTTGGTAGTTGCGCCTACGCGAATTGGTCGGGGGATGACTCCGCCTGGGATACTGGGGCATCATGGATGTATGCGGAAAAGTCCTCCTACAGCGCCATAGTTCAATTAATCTGCAATTAACAGGAATTCACGGATGGCTACAAGACAAAGTCTCCAGCCGCTACCACGATGGGGAAACAAATAGTGCGATCGCTGCGGCCTGATGCGGTTGATTCGGTTGGAATAAAAGTCAAAACGAATAAGACAAGAGTTCTAAAATACCCCAGTAGATGGATGGTTGGATTTATCCGGCATTCCCTCCTCTCCCTAGGGAGTAACAGGGTACTGTAAAAACTCTCGACAGGGAGAACATATAAAGAACTGAAAATATTAGAATTTTGAACCTCCTGTTGCCGCTGCAAGCTTTGGTCCTGACGTGGTTGCGCTGGTTCTAGGCGTCGGGTCAGCTAGGGTCGCGACACTAGATGTTGAACCCCTTAAGCCTCGTGACGCCGTACTAGTAGCTTCCCTCCAAGACGGAGACCTCGGCCTTGGTCACCGGCGCTACTGGGTCGCCCTCACACGGCACGCTACTGTTGCAGTCGCCGGTCCGACACTGCCACCTGTTGGCCTTGTCGAAGAAGCAGCCCGTGCGCCACCAGACGGTCGTGGTGGCGTTCGTGATCACCAGCGCGTCGTTGGTCCAGTTGGGCCCTGCGTGCAGCTCGGTCCACAAGCCCACTGGTGTGACCGCCGGCCACACCATTAGGAGCACCGGTTGGTGATGGTGATCGGTATCCTGCTGGCCCCGACGGTGAACGCATTGACGAGGATGGGGAGGAGGACCGGACAGAGCTAGTGCTTCGAGCCGATGATGCCATTATGTTGAACACTAGACCATAATGGCGTGTGTTGCCGCGCCCGTCCATTTTTACAATATATTGATAGAAATTTCTGCCAGGAAGGTAAACATGGATGTTAATTTGCATAAATTAACCCATACATTGGAGTTTGAACTTTTATTCCCATTGAGGCGCGTTGACGCAAAAAGAATCATGAAGCCGCAAAATTGTAAGTTAGATTTCTGTATACAATAGATTGGTTCTCACAAATATGATGTTGATCATTGCACTTTGTAAAGGTGCCAGTGGCAAATAAGTTCTCAGGAAAGAAGTACCAATGAAAAAAGTCGGTTTCCCTTGTATGTGCGTGTCTCTAGCTATTTATTTATTTTTGCTGCTAGTGAGTTCATGTAAGTGGTGAAAATATCTGGTGCATCGGAGCTTATGATACGACCAGTGCACCGAACCCACATTGTGGTTTTATAATGTTAAAAAAATTGAAATGTTTTTAGCACACTCACACAACATCAATGTAGGTTGTCACAAAATTTTAAGTTAAAATTTGAAACATAACTAGCAAAAAAAAGACAAATTCAACACTAAATAGTACATAACATGATTTGGGCTTTAGATTTGGCCCATTATCACACTAATGTGAAATTTTCATTTTTGTATCTCAAAAACTATTTCAAATTTTTACACGAAATTTTCTGACATCATACATTTATGTTGTGTTAACATGCTACAATGTTTTCAGATTTTTGAAAAATATTCTATGGCATTCGGTGCACCGGTAGCACCACAAGTGCGGGTGCACCAGATACATCCCCCACATAAGTTTCATTACTCATTATGTCCTCAGCAGTCCTATGTCGGTAGGATATAGTTATGTAATCTTTGCATGATGACAAAGTAGTGAAGAAAGAGCGAATTTGTTGTGTGGTAGAAAAGAGAGAAATAAACAAGTCATCATCACCCTAAATATGCAAAGAAGATATCAAATGAGGTAGGCACTGAACTGCACATATTACAGTTGTTTCCAATATCATGGAAATGTAAATACGAAACCGATACTAAAAGTTTCATCGTCAGAAAAATGAAATTTTGCCCCTTGGCATCTTTCCTATCTAAAAAGAAAACTACTAATATATTCACATACCAATTTGATTGACACATTGAATGTGTTGGTGCTCTCCTTGGAGCTACTTGCATATCCTATGATCGGCAACTGATAGAAGACATGGTACCATCAAACAGCTGAATGTCACTGAACATTGCCTCATGGTTCCTGCCAATATTGTTATTAGAAAGTGTCTCATTAACCTTCGACATATTTAGGCTTCAAACTGGATGTACATGTGAAACATTAACAGTGCATCGTTTCACAGGGATATGCTCAGCTGCGAGGACATGTGAACTACTACGACGATGTCATGGGAGAGGAGAGAGGAGCCACAGGATGTTCGAGAGAGGATGTCACTGTCATCTGGGCGCCGATCATGCATAAGGTTTCGAGAGAGAAGGAAAGTGTAGCCAATCGATGGAGCCCTGGATTGCGCGGACTCACGTGGCCTGGCAGGCCCTGCGAGAGTTTTTTGGCCCGATCAATGAGAGGGCTTGCTGGTCCATCTCCAAAGCGGCGGCCCTATGACGTTTTCGACGCGTAAGCAGGCGTTTGATCTAGTACATCCGTTCACGTGATCCAACGGTATAGGATGCCAAATCCTTGTGAAGGGCCCTAACTAGCTGAGTTATACTATTTAGTAATGTGTGTGTAATGGGAGAGAGGACATGTCATGCTTATTTATCATGCCAGGATTGAGTTAAAAATGGCCACTAGCTACTCCCTCCATTTCTACTATGGACTACATACGGATGTATATAAACATATTCTATAAGTGTAAATTCACTCATTTTGCTTAGTATGAAATCCATACTAAAATTCCTAAAAAGACTTATATTTAGAAACGAAGAGATTACTACCTACTTGGATGTGATCAATGTTGGGGTCCAAGATTTGCCGCCTTTTTCCTTTGTCTCGTTGAAGCTTGACGACAATGCCAGGCAGGGTGCGTATCCGGCTTGTCTGCTCCCTTTCCATGCTCCCATCCGTGCTCCCATCTCATCCAACGGTTGTCTTTTTTCCTTTTTTCTTTCTAATCTAATCATCTCCCCCTGATTTTAAAGGGTGGGGTCAGGCTTTATTTTGTTCCAATCAAATCAAGCAACATATGCGAGAACACGGATGGGCACACGGGAGGGGAGCAGGCAAGTCTCGTCCGGCAAGGTGCATGCACAACAGTCCGCAGATTGCTTACACATGCACCCATCAGATAGAGCCGGGCCAACTGAACGATTTTTGCACTACATATATCAAAGCCTCTAAAAACTCGTGTCCTCTGAACGTGACCAAAGCCTTTTTTTAGGGGAACGTGACCAAAGCCTTGGATGGTATATCGACTGCGGAGCAGTCTTAGTAGTTGTTGATTTATTCAAAAATGCTAGTCATCAGCCGGCTGTTATTTTTTTTAAATGTTTGGTAGTTTTGCAGTCTTTAGTTCTCACGCATTCACTTTTTTTTCATGAACAAAAGTTGCTGCATTTAAATCAGTATAGTATGTACAAAAAATTCTATATATGTCGATTATCGCGCTCTTGCTCAGTCCATGCTCTGAATTAAAGCCACGCCACTTTTTTTAATCAGAGGGTGTACTTAACTGAAAGTCGATCCTGCCACTACCAACGAATAAGTCTGCCACACTAGTAGAAAACATGGCTTTGATTGAGGTCTAAGTAAGGGCATTAATCCCGGTTCACTCACAAAATGGGACCAAAGGGTGCATCAATCCCGATTCATGAGGTCAGGACGTCGGTCGGGCCTCGGGGGCCATTGGTCCTGGTTCATCTAACAGTTTTGGTCCTGATTCCAGACACGAATCAGGACCAATGGGCCTCACTCCTGGCCCAGCACCTTTTGTCCCGATTGGTGGGTGGAACCGGGACCAAATGTCAGTCTTCTGTCCCCCTTCTAGCCACCAACCAGACTAAAGAGACCACTATATATACCCCCGCCCCTGCCTGCGAACAGAGTCACTGCTCTGTTTTTTGGCCGGCCGTGGGAGAGGTGTGTGTTGCTCTAGCTCATCTTCTATGCATATGAGGTGTTCGATGAAATGTCCGAGCCACACTTAAACTTTCTCCTCTCCAAGCTCCTTGTCCAAATTCCATTTTTTTAAGATTTGTCTAGATTTGACGGTCCGTCCTGTCCCATCCCCGTCCTCACCGCCGTCAATCGCTCGCGCCAATCTCGTTCTTATCTTATTTCTAAAAGAAAAAAAATTCTTACTTGTATGATTTAGATAGATACTTGTATACTTTTCTTACTTTTATTATTGTTTGTTATTATATAGTGCGATGGGTTTGGTATCCGCACCCGTCGGCCTTCGTCCTGTCTATGATTCAGATGTGGTACATATTATCTTTTATAACTATTTGTTTCATTTAGTGTTTATGACAATTATGCCGACCAACGTGATATAGATGTTTTTATCTAGGAGATATGTGAACCAGAAAATTTCAACCGACCCTCTTGTCGAGATGTTAAATTTAGTTGAAAAAACAATTACTTAAAGAAAAATTGAGGAAGAGAAGATGGAATTGAAGTTGCATGTTGCGGATGTCGTCGATGATCAGAAGATCAAGATGGATGCAATGCGCTTGAAGATTAGAAAATATGCCATTCATACTGAGGCTTGGTATCATTATGCCGTTGGATCAATTGTTACCTTAGTTGCGATTATGATCGCATTTGTTGTTGCATTGAAATGTTTTACATAATTTCAATGTATGATTTAATTAGATGCTCTAGAGAGCTATATGTTATTTAATGAGAACTATGTATGAACTTTATGTATTTTTTTTAGTAATAACATTTGATCACTACTGTACTATGGTTTTAATGTGATGATGAACTTCTTTTAGCTAGCTAACACAATATGAAACCCCTAAATTAACCCTCCAAAAACCCTAAACCCTCCCCCCTTAAAAAAACAAAACCCCAGCACCTGCGAGCTACCGACGCGTGGCTGCCTTTTGGTCCCGGTTGGTGTTACCAGCCGGGACTAAAGGTCCTCCTGCCTAGGCGCCCCGCAGCGGCCACGTGGAGCCCCTTTTGTCCCAGTTCGTAAGCAAATCGGGACTAAATGTTTTGGGCTTTAGTCCCGTTTGTTTTGTCCCGGTTCCAGAACCTGGACTAAAGGGTCTCTGAAATCGGGACTAGTACCCTATTTTTTACTAGTGCCCATGTGAAACAGTTTCTTGCAAGATAGAAAAATAATGAATAGATGAAAAAGAAGAAAGTTAATTTTAGGCCTGTCAATGAATTAGTTTACCCAGACGAGAGGCGAATGAACGCCGCACCTTGACGAACTATAGTCAACTAAAAATTAGTTTTAATATTTTCGGCTCATATAGCCCGGAGTGAGAGCTAGGAAAGGAACACTCCTGGTCCAGCTAAGAAAATAAGAGTATATATTTTTTCTATTAGGTCCAAATTGATCAATCTTGCACACTCCAACCAATTTTCGAACTGGAATTAAACATTAATGAAGCTTCCTGGAATCAACTGTTTTTGATACTCCAAGTATTGTATGGCTTTCAATGACTTTCGATGTGGTTTCATGTGTTTATGTAGTTTTGTAGAAATTTCAATGGATTTTCCATGTAGTTTCATACGTGTTTGAGTTCTACTTGGATTTATGTCAAACTTCCACTTAATCTTTTTCAGAATAAATCAAAACCTCAACTAATGATTAATGAAAGCGCAGCAAAACATGAGAAAACTTTGTTTTTGTCACTCTAACTTTTGCCTATTTTGCTTATGCAACTCTAGAATTTAACATATCACTTTTGCCACTCTTAGTTTTTGACAATACATCACAAATGTCATTCCGTGGCAAAAGCAATAACTTTTCATTTTACGTTTGTCACTCTTAGATTGTAACAATGTATCACAATTGACTCTAAAATTATTGCTTTTGCCACGGAATGGCAATTGTGGTGTATTGTTAAAAATTAAGAGTGGCAAAAGCAATATGTCAAATTCTAGAGTGGCATAAACAAAATAGTCAAAAGCTAGAGTGACAAAAACAAAGTTTTTCGCAAAACATGGGAAGGGTGGCTGTTGTCCAAAGCAGAAGAACCTAAAGAACTAAAAAATTATATGAAACTAAAAGGGCTTCTTGGAATAGTCTGTATGAATCTTGAAGATACGAGGAAGCTAGGGTCTAGATCGATGGATCGGCGACATCAAAATAATGGGGTGTTGTATTTTTTGCTACGATAGCGTCCTTCTGTCCTTGGTGCCTGGTAGTCAGTTTCTAGGTGCGCTAGCTGTTGATCGCGCATATGCTAATAAATCTTGAACATATTAGAGATGTGAAATTAGATATTCTTTACCTTTATTTATGGACTTTATTGGCCACTCGTACACGTATATATCCGCGGCCGGGGCCATTATTACATGGAAAATGGAAGTACAAATATTATGGTCGTATATCTGGTCCGTCCGTGCCACGGCACGCATGCGTATGCGTATGGTAGAGCTATACTAGCCCATCATGGGCAGAAGACTATACTGAACCTCCTGTTACCGCTGCAAGCTTTGGTCCTGACGTCGTTGGGCTGGTGGTAGGCGTCGGGGCAGCTGGAGTCGCGGCACTGGATGTTGACGCCGGTGCTGCAGGAGAAGTCCATGGGGAGGTTGTACCCGTCGATCACCGAGATGTCGTAGTAGTCTGTGCCGCCACCGAGGGTGAACTCCGCCAAAGTCAGCGGGGGCTGGCCGGAGAGGGTGCAGGAGAGCGCGCCGCCACAGTCGCCGGTGCTGCATCTCCCGCTGTTGCCGTTGAAGCTGCAGCCGGTGCGGCCCCAGATCCTGGCGGAGCTGGTGCCGTCGGGGATGTCGAGGTTCCAAGTTTGGCCGTTGTTGAGCTGCCGTCCGCCGCCCACCGGGGTGGCCGCCGGCCACACAGTGAAGGAGCAGCGGTTCGTGATGGAGAAGCTCCTGGCGCTAGCCCCCGTGGTGAGGGCCGCGGCAAGGAGGAGGATGAGCGCCGACGAGGAGACGGCCATTGTTTCTTGCTTTCTTGATTGCTGTGGTATTGTTGGTTGAATGGACGGGATAGCACGTGGTTATTTATAGTACGTAGATAGCTAGAAGAAAATTCAAGATTGGTGGGAACTGCAGTTTCCTCTACATGGATACGTATGCGCCAGCCAATGCTGGCTGAGAAAAATCTCCAAGCTTCACTCCGTCGACGAGCCACTTCACAGTTGGTCTTTGCTACCCCCACTGAGAGTGACGTCCGGCGTAGCTTTGCTAGCTGGTATCTTTTGAATTTTCTCGCCGTGTCAAGTAGGTCGGAAAAAATTGCAACGTTTCTTGTTATTCGTCTTGTGCTGGAAAATATGGGGGATCCGAGAGGGACGTGCACGAATCGATGGAGTCTATATCCTTTGCATGCGGCTACTTGATCTTGCGGACTAAAAAAAACCGGTAGGCTGGAGGTATGCAGCTACCAGTGGCGAATCTAGACAGAAACTGGAGGGTGGGCTCAAAGCCTGTATCATGCCAATATCTGTTGGATTG